CAAACCAAGATCCCCACCCGAAATTCCGGAGACCCACCTTCTGTGGGGGGAACTCCCGGCAGCAACGCCCAACCCCGGCCGTGACCCTTCGAATCCACCCGCTGAGCCCGCGGACCCGCATCCGGGCTCAGTGCGCTCAGACCTCCTAGCGTGGGGAGGTGGAAGGACGCCGGGTCGGCGTCTGGCCCTGAGGCCCCCCGGCGAGGCGCGGGCGCGGCCCCCGAGCCGGGCTGGGGGCGGACACGCCGCGCGCCCCGCCCCGCCCCGCCCCCTGCGGCGCCCGGCCGCGCGGCGGGCTGCGTGTCCTCGCGCCGACCCTCCTCGCGCGCCTCGCCGCGCACGCGCGCGGCTCTGCGCAGGGCGAGGAGAGGCGGTGCCCGGGCGCCCGGCCCCAACCTGTCAGACCGGGAGCGGGCCTCCAGCGGCGGCGCAGCAGGCGCGAGTTCGGCCCTGCGGCCTGCTGGGAGCTGGTCCGGCCGAGCCGGCCGAGCTGGAGATGACGGCGGCCCAGCTGCAGCCCCGGTAGATGCGCCGCCCCTCGCGGAGCTGAGCCTGGGGGCTGGCCCTGCGTTCGCCGCCGGGGGCTTCGGAACTTGTGGGCAGTAGTGTTGGGCGCCTTTAATTTATAACGTGTTTCGCTTTCCACAGGATGGGGAGGGGCGCGCGGCACTGCCTCGGACACTGGCGCTCCCGTGAAGTAGGGCAGCCGGCCGTCCGCCGCGCGAGCCGTTCCGCGCCGCGGCCGCTCAGCCTCTGCCATGGCCGGGTCGGCGCGTGGAAGCGCTCAAATCTCTGCTGAGGAAGGATGATGCGCCACTGTTCTTAAATGACACCAGCGCCTTTGACTTCTCGGATGAGGGTCGGGGATGAGGGGCTTTCTCGGTTCAACAAACTTCGGGTTGTGGTGGCCGACGATGGTTCTGAAACCTGGAAAGGCCTATTAACGGGGCGCACCCGGCCCTGCAGGCCGACGATGATTCCTTACTGGACCAGGACTTACCTTTGACCAAAGTCAGCTGAGTTTGAAGGTGGATTCCTGTGACAACTGCAGCAAACAGAGAGAGTTGCTGAAGCAGAGAAAGGTGAAAACCAGGTTGACCATTGCTGCCGTTCTTTACTTGATTTTCATGATTGGAGAGCTTGTAGGTGAGTTGTGTTGCCAACTCACTTTCTATTTGCCTTTCATCAAGCGTCTTTGTCAAGCTGTAGTTACACCTGATTTGGGTTAAACTTTCCTCTTTAGGAAGTTTGTATTTATCAAGATACTGATCTCATGATATGAAAATGCACAGGTTCCAAAGTACAGAGCAACCTAAGTACAACATAAACTTTCCGAGATAACTTTGACTTTGTCTTCTAGTTCTTTAGACACTATCAAGTTAAAGTAGGTTTTATCTTCATTGTATATTGTATAGCTTCCTCTTTTTAAGATAAATGCCAGGTTAATTTTTGCAGCGTTAAAAAATAGTAAATGATTCTAAAATGACTTTGAATCACAGAATTTTACGGTGTGAAGGAATCTTACTGAACACCTGCTCCACCTTCTCTTTTACATATAAGGATTCTGAGGCCCAGAGAGGCTAAAGTTGTGAGGCCAGTCACTAGATTTTTTTTCTCTGCATTTGATTTAAGTGGTCTGTTTATACCGTTTCCTTTTGTATTTATCGCCAAGAGATTTGTAAAACTAAATACTACCAACTAACATAAATTTTTTCAGTATAAGGAGGATCTGAAATGAACCAATGGATTTCCCAGCATTCATGAACTTGGTTTCTTTTTCATGTTCTAATTATACAAATAATAGATTCTGACTGTAAGAAACAGTCCATTCTTCATTTAGAGATTATTTCATAGTCACATGTTACTGTCTCAGTGGCAGTTTACAAAGTGACATTAAAGCAGGAGATGATTCTTTCATGTTGTTTCTTAATGATGAACCATGATGAAAACAGAGGTGGCAATCCAGAATTAAGATGCTTGCTAGACGTTGTATGTAGGAAAATTATGTTTCTACTCATTTCATACCATGTCCACAGTGCTCACTTCAGCCATGCTTGACTTCTCTTTCTTCCTACAACTCATAAAGATCTTTTTGGCCTTAAGGCCTTCAAACTGGCTGATCACTCTACCTAGTGGCTTTAAACTTTTTTGACCTCACTATAGTAAGAAATACACTTAACATTGTGACTCAATAGGCATGCATGCATACATATTATATATGTAACACACGTGAACATGCGTATAAATATATGCATAACTGAAACAAAAGTCTTATTTCATGTGATATATTCTAATATTTTTTCACCTGTGGTTCCAACCCACTTTAATATCTGTCTTTTTCCACTGAAATAGGCTGAATTCCAGCACCCTAGAAAAGTGACTGACACAAGTAGAGACTCAGTAAATTTTTTTGAATTAATTAAATTTTATTCTGTTAGATAATTATAAATGCTTAAGCTGTAAAGAAATTAAAAGACAGGAGTGAAGCTGTGGCCAGATAAGGCACCGTGGTTTTAGCAGACTAAGATTCAGTGACTGGCCAAATTAACACAACTAGAATATTGAGTATTCAGGCTTGGTGATTTTTGAAGTTAATATTTAATATTTGAAGTTAAAGTAACAGTATCACAATTTTCCACCTTAAAATTCATCTAGAGTTTATTTACCTAAGTAAAAAATCATTACAATATAATTGTCCTGACTTCCATTTCTGGGAATGAGAACTTCCCACTTGCCAATCTCATATTTGGCAAATGTTGTTTTATGAAAGCCACAATATAAGTATTTCCTTCAAATACTGACTTATTTTCAAACATGAAAATATTGTGTTAAATAATACTTATATGGTGTAGTATTTAAGATAGGCGTTAACAATATTATTTAGCCTTGGAGAGAGTAAGAGCTAGTCTTTAAAAAGTCTTAACATGGGTTTCCTGACTGGCAAGAAGACCCAGTCTGGAGGCAGCAACGATTTTCTTTCTCCCTCCCCCACTGCAAGCCAGCAAGGATCCTCTTTGGTTGAATTTCCTCCTTCAGGCACCACCTAGAAAATCATTGACTTTATACTATTTATTGCTATGTCACAAGTGAAAAGAAAATTTGTAATAAATGTTTTGTAAATAAAGGTACATTTAGCTACAATTTCCATTTTGCCTCTGTATGGCAACTTTTGGACACCTGTATTATAATCCCTATTACCTAGAGCATTTAAGAAGATAGACGTTAAACACACAATTACATTTAAAAATTCACGTTGTCTTAAGTGTTATGGAGAAAAAGAACAAGGTACTGTAACCTATAGTAACCAGTGAGACATAGTTTAGGCATGAACCAGGTACATTTAAGCCAAAAAAAAGAATAGTAGTAGTTATCCAAGCAAAGGGAGTGAAGGAGTGTTCCAAGCGAAGAGAACGGCATGTACAAAGTCCCAAAGCTTTCAGTTCTTGAAAAGGAATAGAATAAAAGGCCAATTGGCTGGAATGTAGTAAATATGGGGAAAAGAGGCAGGAGGACCTGATCAGCAGGTCCTGATAGGCTACATTAAATGAGTATAGTTTTTATTCTAAGTGCAATGGGAAGCCAGTCAGGGTTTAAGCAGGAGATGACATGATGGAGTGTACCTTTTTGAAAGATTATTCTGGCTGTTATGTGAGATTAGATGAGAGGATACTATTTTGGCTGCAAGTAAACTGATGCAGGGGTCCAGACAAGAAACAATTATGACTTGGAATAGAATGGGTGGAGAAAAATGCACTTATTAAAAAACTGAAGGTACATTGACAAAATTGGTTGATGTTTGGATGTGAAGGTTAAGGAGAGAGCAGTGTCAGGAATGATTCTGAAGTTTGTCACCTAAGCAACTGAATGTATAGAACTGAGTCTTGAAGCAGCAGGAGAATGCAGAACAGGATTTGGACATGGGCTTGTTTTAGACATGTTACTTTTTGTATGTATGTGAAATATCCAAGTGAAGATATGGGGGGCTGTTAAACATAAGTCTGAATTCAAATACAGATGAAGGTGGAGAGATATGGTATGTAATCCACAGGAATGGGTAAAATTACCTAGAAAGCTAAGTCCAAGGAACTACAACTTTAGAAGTCAAGCAGAGACAAACAGATGTTCTAAAATCCAAGAAAGAAAGTATTTCAAAGTGGAATAAATAGATTGAAACTGCTGAGAAGTGTAATTAGATGAGACCAAATAAGTGGCTCACACCTGTAATCCCAGCACTTTGGGAAGCTAAAATGGGAGGATCACTTGAGGCCAGGAGTTTGAGACCAGCCAGGGCAACATAGCAAGAGCCCATCTCTACAAAAAATAAAAAAATTAGCCAGGTATGGTGACACATACCTGTAGTCTCAGCTACTTAGGAGGTGGAAGCAGGAGGATTGCCTGAGCCCAGGAGTTTGAAGTTACAGTGAGCTATGATTGTGCCACTGCATTCCAGCCTGGGCAACAACAACAAAAAATTATGTTCAAACTCTCCCCAGCAAATGAACACCTACCTTTTCTTCAGCTTTGTTGTAATATTTAGATATTATGGTTATTATTAATAATTCACTGTCTGATAGTAGAATTAGTAGGTTTAACAAAAGTTGCAGTGCTAAAACACAAAATTTCTCTTTATATGACCCTAGGTGTCTTTAACTTTTTAAGGCCATTGACTCCTTGGAGAATCTGTTAATAGAAATTGACATTCTCACCAGAAAAATATACATATATATAATATTTTGCATATAATTTCAGAACACTTTGACTTAATTGTAATATGATAAAGATTTAGTTAGCAGTTCATATTTTGTAGGATGTTACATATTTCTGGTTTGATTGCTTATTTTTTCTTTAATTATTCCTTCTTCCCTCCCTCTCTTACTCTAAGGTGGATACATTGCAAATAGCCTAGCAATCATGACAGATGCACTTCATATGTTAACTGACCTAAGCGCCATCATACTTACCCTGCTTGCTTTGTGGCTGTCATCAAAATCACCAACCAAAAGATTCACCTTTGGATTTCATCGGTTAGGTAGGTAATTGGGGTTTCTTTTGGTTTGTAATGTTTTATAACCACAATATAGTAAAACCACGATGACCTATAACCCTGATTAACTGAAATCTTACCAGAGATATCTTGTTTGAACAAAGCAAATGAAAATAAGGCCAGCCATAGTGGCTCAATCCTGTAATCCCAGCACTTTTGGAGGCCGAGGAGGGAGAATTACTTGAGGCTAGGAGTTGAAGACTAAGGTGGGCAACATAGTGAGACCCTGTCTCTACTATAAAATTTTTTAAAAAAAGGAAATGAGATTTTTTTTTTTTTTTAGGAAATGAGATTTATTCAAAAAAAGTTTATACATAAAATTATATGATGATCATTAATCTTCACGTTTCTCCCTATGTCCTGAAGATGTCGTCAGAAAAAGTTTACTTTCATTTTATTGAACTAAGCAAAACCACATGGGTTTTGCTTGTTAGTGAGCATTAGCTTCTCCCTTTGACTTGAGGTATTTCGATCAAAGCTACCATAGCCTAGATTTTAAGGATTACTATAATTTGGTTTATGAAGCCCACAATATAATATTCTTCAAATACTGATTTATTTTCCAATGAAATTGTTAATAATACTTAATGGTAGTAATTAAGATAGGCGTTTAACATATTTACCTTGGAGAGAGTAGAGCTATCTTTAAAGTTAACATATCAATCGTCCCTCAGAAAGTAAAAAAAAAAAAAAAAAAAAAAATCTAACATGGTTTCCTGAACTGGCAAGAAACAGTCTGGAGCGCTTAACGTTTCTTTCTCCCTCCCCCACTGAAAGCCAGCAGGCTCTTTGGTTGACTCTTCCTCCTTCCAACAGGGCAACCCACTAGAAATCAATTGACTTTATACATTTATGCTATGAACAAGTGAAGGAAATTTGTAATAAGTTTTGTAAATAAAGTACATTTAGTAATCCATTTGCCTCTGTTATGCAATTTGACACCTGTATTAACCCCCTATTTTTACCCACCCTAGAAGCACTTGAAAGGATACGACGTTAACCACACAGTACATTTTAAAATTTCACCGTGCTAAGTGTATGAGAAAAGAACAAGGTACTGTTAACCTATAGTAACCAAGTGAGCAAGTTTAGGCATGAACCAGGTTAACATTTAAGCCAAAAAGATAGGTAGTATTATTCCAGCAAAGGAGTGAGGATGTCCAAGCGAAGAGAAGCGATGAAGTCCGAAGGCTTCAGTTTCTTGAAAAGGAATGAAAAAAGCCAATTGCTGGATGTAGTAATAGGGGAAAAGCAGAGGACCTGATCAAGGCAGGTCCTGAATAGCACATAATATTTTTTTTGTTATTTAAGTGCATGGAAGCCCAGTCAGGGTTTAAGCAGAAGGAGACATGATGGGGTGTACGTTTTGGATTTATCGGCTGTAGTGGAGTTGAAATGAAAGGATACATTTTGGCTGCAAGAAATGAGCAGGGGTCCAGACAAGAAGACAATATGACTGGAAATAGAATGGGGTGGAGAAAAAATGCACTATAATGAAGGTCATGACCAATTGGTTGATGGTTGGATGTGAGGTAAGGAGAGAGCATGTCAGGAAGATCTGAAGTTGTCACCTAAGCAACTGAATGTAAAAACTGAATTATGAAGCAGCAGGAGAATGCAGAACAGGATTTGATACCTTGTTTTTAGACATGTTTTGTATGTATTGAAATATCAAGTGAAGAAATGGGGGGCGTTTAAACCATGAGTCGAATTCAAAGACCAGATGAAGGGTAGAGAGTATGGTTGTTAATCCACAGGAATGGGTTAAATCAAGAAAGCCTAAGTCCAAGGAACTACAACTTAGAAGTCAACAGAGAAAACAGAATTCTTCCAAAGAAAGTATCGTGAAATAAATAGATGAAACGCTGAGAGTGTAAATAGATGAAGAACTAAATTTCAGATTGACACAGAGTTATCAATTAGTTAAACATTGCAGTTCTTATGGGAATGAAAATGCTAAAGCGATATCGATTCCAGGTAAAAAGAATGCAAAATGACTTTAGCATCAAATTTGCTTTCCTGAGCCTGTCTTAAAATGCAATGAAGAATAAAAAAAAAAAAAAAAATATAATCACACACATTGGGGAAATGGAGAGGAGAAATAAGCACAAAAATTTGGAAAACTGGAAAGGAAAAAGATAAACAGTAACTAAACTTAAAGACCAAAAAAGCCAGCTCCTAAAACAGCATTGGGACTTGAAGAACAGCTCGTTTTCACTACGCCAGTGGTTTCTCAAGCTTTGCTGTTTGCACAGATCAACCTAGAGACATGTTAAACAAAGATCCAGGGGGCCTGCTGATCTGCTGATCGAAGGTCCACAATAAGAGAACTGCTTGCACAGAGAATCCAAGTGGGCCCAGAATTGGTATAGTACCTCTGGTAGTGGGTGAAGAAGGTAAATAAGAAAGCTAGTTAAAAATGTTAAAACCAGCCAGATATATTTATCAAGTACATGAAGCAAGAAGGCTGCTTTAAAAAATTCAGGAAAGACAGGAACTTGAAATAAATCATAGTTAGAATATCCGTTTATCCATAAAAAAAGTGGAGATAAAGGACCTCTCCACAAGTGAGCAAAGAGATTGGACAATGGACCAGAAAAGAAAAAAATAAAAAAATTGATACAGTCCACTCCAAATAATAGGATGAGAATAAGAAGAAGCAAAAGGAAAATCATCAATAGTTACAGTTTGAAATTCACCATAACTTAAGTTTATACATTTCAGATTGAAAAGAGTCACAACCAGCAAATGAGTGACAGAAGATCCACCAAAAAGGCGACATCATTGGATTTCAGAAACAATGGAAAAACATTGTATCTACTACCTCAGATAACTTGCAGTGTCAAATAGTTGCCTTTGATAGTTTTTGACAAGCATGGGAAGAAGTGGAGCTGTTGACACAGGCACAGTTTCAGTGTCAGTCAAATACAGCTTTTGCGGTAGGTATTTCAGGGAATCCCCAGATAGGTCAAATATGGCATTATCTGGGAATGGCTTTGAAGGAGCTCCTAACACATTTTGCCTCCTCCCAGTGAACGCCAAAGTGAGGTTTGTGGCCTGTTGGTTTTCAAGCGCCATAACAACTGGAATGGCATGGCATAGGACAAGTTAAAACCCACAAAGGCCCGGGCGCGGGGCTCACGCCTGAAATCTAGCATTTGGGGGAGGCGGGCGGGCGATTGGCTCGAGTTTACGGAGTGAAACCAGCCGACCTGGAGACCCCATCTCTACTATAAATGAAGATTATTGCAACTAATAAATATAGAAAACTAGTTGGATGGTGGGCATACCTGTATCCCAGCTACTTGGGAGCTAGGCAGCAGGATGTTTGGAGCCCAGATTTGAGGTTGCTGTGAGCTAGGCTGACACCACGGCAACTCCACTCAGCCTGGGCAACCAAGCGAGACCTGCCAAAAAAAAACCACCAACAAAGCTAGCTGTTTACTGAAAATCAGCCATTCTAAATGAAATTCTATGTGTATAAGACTTTATTCATTCAAATGAAAAAGCTTGATTTTGACTTGTCCATGTTCCTCATTGCCTTTCAGAAGGAGGATGATTTCAAGTTCATATCTGTTTTGCTTGACATTTAATACCAACATGTGATTAAATACGGTTTTATAAATTCAATAATTCCTTAGTCCACTAGCCATTTAAATGCTCAAAGCCACATGTGATAGTGGACTACTCATTGGACGCATATAGCAGGAGACAATTCTACTCAGAAAGTCTGGAAGTGTGCTTAAAGAATTTTCCTCCATTTTTAATAGCTGGTAAGGCTCAAAACTGGGTAAAGGATTCACTCAGCACTTAAGTTCCAAAGCTTCCAATATTGTTTACAGCTGACCTGTTATTTTCTTCTCATGCTTTCCAGCTTTTAATGTTCGGGAATACAAGAATGATATATATATTGATAAGACATGAGATAATGTATGTGAACTACAAGAGTCCCAGGTTCCCGCTACTCTTGGCTCTGCACACCCAGGCCAGGAATGAGGGTCACCAACAAACAGCTCCTGCAATTACCCTGTATATGAAGTCTAATACACTTATAACAGTGATCCAGAATGGTTCCAGCCTGAAGTATCAACCATCACCTGAGACATGTAGGGAATGTAAATTCTCAGGCCCAGTCCCATGCCTAACTGAACCCAAATTCTTGGAGTAGAAGGAAGCAGGTGTAGTTTTAACAACCCCCAGGTGATTGATACACATAAAATTGACTAAGCTTATTCAATGAAATGGTGCTAAGGAGTTGGTTTGTCCATCAATGGGACACAGACACACACACACATTACAAATTAATTATAATGCTGAAAAACAAATACCAAAAAATGCATCCTAAATACCACTTGTTCCTCTATTCAGAGATTATGCTATCTATACTCCAAGTATATAGTAATTTTAATTTATTTGTTAAATACGTTTTGTGATTTCTTCATTTTAATTTTTATGTTCGGCTGCAGCCCTCCCTCGCGCGCCTCGCCCGGCGCACGCGCGCGGCCTCGCGCAGGGCGAGGAGAGGCGGTGGCCGCGGGCGCCCGGCCCCAACCTGTCAGACCGGGGAGCGGGCCTCCAGCGGCGGGCGCAGCAGGCGCGAGTTCGGCCCTGCGGCCTGTGGGAGCTGGTCCGGCCGAGCCGGCCGAGGGCTGGGAGATGAGCGGCGGCCCAGCTGCAGCGCCCCAGGTAGATGCGCCGCCCCCTCGCGGAGCTGAGCCTGGGGGCTGGCCCTGCGTTCCGCCGCCGGGGGCTTCGGAACTTGTGGGCAGTAGTGTTGGGGCGCCTTTAATTTATAACGTGTTTCGCTTTCCACAGGATGGGGAGGGGCGCGCGGCACTGCCCTCGGACACTGGCGCTCCCGTGAAGTAGGAGCCGCCGGCCGTCCGCCCGCGCGAGCCGTTCCGCGCCGCGGCCGCTCAGCCTCTGCCATGGCCGGGTCTGGCGCGTGGAAGCGCCTCAAATCTCTGCTGAGGAAGGATGATGCGCCACTGTTCTTAAATGACACCAGCGCCTTTGACTTCTCGGATGAGGTCGGGGATGAGGGGCTTTCTCGGTTCAACAAACTTCGGGTTGTGGTGGCCGACGATGGTTCTGAAACCCTGGAAAGGCCTATTAACGGGGCGCACCCGGCCCTGCAGGCCGACGATGATTCCTTACTGGACCAGGACTTACCTTTGACCAACAGTCAGCTGAGTTTGAAGGTGGATTCCTGTGACAACTGCAGCAAACAGAGAGAGTTGCTGAAGCAGAGAAAGGTGAAAACCAGGTTGACCATTGCTGCCGTTCTTTACTTGATTTTCATGATTGGAGAGCTTGTAGGTGAGTTGTGTTGCCAACTCACTTTCTATTTGCCTTTCATCAAGCGTCTTTGTCAAGCTGTAGTTACACCTGATTTGGGGTTAAACTTTCTCTTTAGGAAGTTTGTATTTATCAAGATACTGATCTCATGATATGAAAATGCCACAGGGTTCCAAAGTACAGAGCAACCTAAGTACAACATAAACTTTCCGAGATAACTTTGACTTTGTCTTCTAGTTCTTTAGACACTATCAAGTTAAAGTTAGGTTTTATCTTCATTGTATATTGTATAGCTTCCTCTTTTTAAGATAAATGCCAGGTTAATTTTTGCAGCGTTTAAAATAGTAAATGATTCTAAAATGACTTTGAATCACAGAATTTTACGGTGTGAAGGGATCTTACTGAACACCTGCTCCACCTTCTCTTTTACATATAAGGATTCTGAGGGCCCAGAGAGGCTAAATAAGTTGTGAGGCCCAGTCACTAGATTTTTTTTTCTCTGCATTTGATTTAAGTGGTCTGTTTATACCGTTTCCTTTTGTATTTATCGCCAAGAGATTTGTAAAAGTAAATACTACCAACTAACATAAATTTTTTTCAATATAAGGAGGATCCGAAATGAACCAATGGATTTCCCCAGCATTCTATGAACTTGGTTTTCTTTTTCATGTTCTAATTATACAAATAATAGATTCTGACTGTAAGATACAGTCCATTCTTCATTTAGAGATTATTTTCATAGTCACATGTTACTGTCTCAGTGGCAGTTTACAAAGTGACATTAAAGCAGGGAGATGATTCTTTCATGTTGTTTCTTAATGATGAACCATGATGAAAACAGAGGTGGCAATCCAGAATTAAGATGCTTGGCTAGACGTTGTATGTAGGAAAATTATGTTTCCTACTCATTTCATACCATTGCTCCACAGTGCTCACTTCAGCCATGCTTGACTTCTCTTTCTTCCTACAACTCATAAAGATCTTTTTGGCCTTAAGGCCTTCAAACTGGCTGATCACTCTACCTCAGTGGCTTTTAAACTTTTTTGACCTCACTATAGTAAGAAATACACTTAACATTGTGACTCAAGTAGGCATGCATGCATACATATTTATATATGTACAACACACGTGAACATGCGTATAAATATATGAATAACTGAAACAAAAGTCTTATTTCATGTGATATATTCTAATATTTTTTCACCTGTGGTTCCAACCCACTTTAATATCTGTCTTTTTCCACTGAAATAGGCTGAATTCCCAGCACCTAGAAAAGTGACTGACACAAAGTAGAGACTCAGTAAATTTTTTTGAATTAATTAAATTTTATTCTGTTAGATAATTATAAATGCTTAAGCTGTAAAGAAATTAAAAGACAGGAGTGAAGCTGTGGCCAGATAAGGCACCGTGGTTTTAGCAGACTAAGATTCAGTGACTTGCCCAAATTAACACAACTAGAATATTGAGTATTCAGGCTTGGTGATTTTTGAAGTTAATATTTAATATTTGAAGTTAAAGTAACAGTAATCACAATTTTCCACCTTAAAATTCATCTAGAGTTTATTTTACCTAAGTAAAAAATCATTACAATATAATTGTCCTGACTTCTCATTTCTGGGAATGAGAACTTCCCACTTGCCAATCTCATATTTGGCAAATGTTGTTTTATGAAAGCCACAATATAAGTATTTCCTTTCAAATACTGACTTTATTTTCAAACATGAAAATATTGTGTTAAATAATACTTATATGGTAGTAGTATTTAAGATAGGTGTTAACAATATTATTTAGCCTTGGAGAGAGTAAGAGCTAGTCTTTAAAAAGTCTTAACATATCAGTATCTGCCTCAGAAAGTAAAAAAAAAAAAAAAAAAAAAAAAAGTCTTAACATGGATTTCCTGACTGGCAAGAAGACCCAGTCTGGAGGCAGCTAACTGATTTTCTTTCTCCCTCCCCCACTGCAAGCCAGCAAGGATCCTCTTTGGTTGAATTTCCTCCTTCAGGCAACCACCTAGAAAATCATTGACTTTATACTATTTATTGCTATGACACAAGTGAAAAGGAAAAATTTTGTAATAAATGTTTTGTAAATAAAGGTACATTTAGCTACAATTTCCCATTTTGCCTCTGTATGGCAACTTTTGGGACACCCTGTATTATAATCCCTATTACCTAGAGCATTTAAGAAGATAGACGTTAAACACACAAGTACATTTAAAATTCACGTTGTCTTAAGTGTTATGGAGAAAAAGAACAAGGTACTGTAACCTATAGTAACCAGTGAGACATAGTTTAGGCATGAACCAGGTACATTTAAGCCAAAAAAAGAATAGTAGTAGTTATCCAAGCAAAGGGAGTGAAGGAGTGTTCCAAGCGAAGAGAACGGCATGTACAAAGGTCCCAAAGCTTTCAGTTCTTGAAAAGGAATAGAATAAAAGGCCAATTTGGCTGGAATGTAGTAAATATGGGGGAAAGAGGCAGGAGGACCTGATCAGGCAGGTCCTGATAGGCTACATTAAATGAGTATAGTTTTTATTCTAAGTGCAATGGGAAGCCAGTCAGGGGTTTTAAGCAGGAGGATGACATGATGGGGTGTACCTTTTTGAAAGATTATTCTGGCTGTTATGTGGAGATTAGATGAGAGGATACTATTTTGGCTGCAAGTAAACTGATGCAGGGGTCCAGACAAGAAACAATTATGACTTGGAATAGAATGGGTGGAGAAAAATGCACTTATTAAAAAACTGAAGGTACATTGACAAAATTGGTTGATGGTTTGGATGTGAAGGTTAAGGAGAGAGCAGTGTCAGGAATGATTCTGAAGTTTGTCACCTAAGCAACTGAATGTATAGAACTGAGTCTCTGAAGCAGCAGGAGAATGCAGAACAGGATTTGGACATGGGCTTGTTTTAGACATGTTACTTTTTGTATGTATGTGAAATATCCAAGTGAAGATATGGGGGGGCTGTTAAACATGAGTCTGTAATTCAAATACAGATGAAGGTGGAGAGATATGGTATGTAATGCCACAGGAATGGGTAAAATTACCTAGAAAGCCTAAGTCCCAAGGAACTACAACTTTAGAAGTCAAGCAGAGACAAACAGATGTTCTAAAATCCAAGAAAGAAAGTATTTCAAAGTGGAAATAAATAGATTGAAACTGCTGAGAAGTGTAATTAGATGAGAACTAAATATCCTCAGGATTTGGTAACACAGAGTTATCAATTAGTTTAACAATTGCATTCTTATTGGGAATGAAAATGCTAAGCGAATATAGACTTCCAGGTAAAATAAAGATGGCAAATTGAACTTTAGCATCTAATTTTGCTTTCTCTGAAGGCTGTCTTAAACTGCAATGAAGGGATTTAAAAAAAAAAAAAAAGATATAAATCCACACACATGGGGAAAAATGGAGAGGAGAAAATAGCAACAAAAATTTTGGAAACTGGAAAGGAAAAAGATAAAACAGTAACTAACTTAATAGACCAAAAAAGCCAGCTCCTAAGACAGCATTGGGGAAGCTGAGAACCAGCTCAGTTTTCACTAGCGCAGTGGTTCTCAAGCTTTGCTGTGCATCAGAATCACCTAGAGAATTTGTTAAAACACAAGATCCCAGGGGCTGCTGATACTGCTGATCGAAGGTCCACAATAGAGAACTGCTGCACTAGAGAATCCCAAGTGGGCCCAGAATTGGTACTAGGTACCTCTGGTAGTGTGGGTAAAGAAGGCTAAAATAAGGAAAGCTAGTTAAAACCTGTTTAAAAACCAGCCAGATATAATTGTTTATCAAGTATCCATGAAGCAAGAACAGGCTGCTTTAAAAAAAATTCAGGGAAAAGACAGGAACTTTTGAACAATAAAATCATGTTAATAGAATATCTGTTAACTCCATAAAAAAGTTAGAAGATGAATTAAGGTACTCTCTCACAAAGTAGAGCAAAAAACCAGAGATGGACAATGGACAGAAAAGGCAAAAAAATTAAAATAAATTTAGAATTACCAGTCTAAACTCCAAATAATAGGAGTCTGAGGAATAAGAGAAAGCAAAAGGGAAGAAATCATCAATAGTTAACAGTTTAAGAAATTTCACCATAACTGAAGTTTATACATTTCCAGATTGAAAGAGTCAACAAAAGCCCAGCAAATTGGGTGACAGGAGATCCACAAAAAGGTACATCATTGTGAAATTTCAGAACAATGGGAACACATTGTTATCTACTACCTCAGATAACTGCAGTGTCAAATAGTTGCCTTTGATAGTTTTTGACAAGCATGGGAAGGAAAGTGGGAGCTGTTGACACAGGGCAAGTTCCAAGTGTCAGGTCAAATAAAAACAGCTTTGCAGGTAGGTATTTCAGGGAATCCCCAGATAGGTCAAATAATGGCAGTTCTCTGGGAATGGGACTTTGAAGGAGCTCCTAACCCATTTTGCCTCCTCCAGTGACTGCCAAAGTGAGGTTTTGTGGCCTGTTGGTTTTCAAGCTGCCATAACACTGGGAAATGGCAAATGGGCATAGGACAAGTTAAAACACCACAAAGCTGCCGGGCGCGGTGGCTCACGCCTGTAATCCTAGCACTGTGGGAGGCCGAGGCGGGCGGATTGCTCGAGGTTAGGAGTTCGAAACCAGCCTGAGCCTGAGCGAGACCCCGTCTCTACTATAAATAGAAAGAAATTAATTGGCCAACTAATATATATAGAAAAAACTAGTTGGGCATGGTGGTGCATGCCTGTAGTCCCAGCTACTTGGGAGGCTGAGGCAGCAGGATTGTTTGAGCCCAGGATTATGAGGTTGCTGTGAGCTAGGCTGACACCACGGCACTCACTCTAGCCTGGGCAACAAAGCGAGACTCTGTCTCAAAAAAAAAAAAAAAAAAAACACCACAAAGCTAGCTGTTTTTACTGAAAATCAGCCATTTTTCTTAAATGAATTCTATGTGTATAAGACTTTATTTCATTTCCAAAGTTCTGAAAAAGCTGATTTTGACAATTTTTGTCCATGTCCTCATTGCCTTTCAGAAGGAGATGATTTTCAGAGTTCCATACTCTGTTTTTGCTGACATTACCAACATGTGGCTTTTAAAATTTAGGTTTATTAAAATTTAATTAATTCCTTAGTTCCACTAGCCATTTTTAAAATGCTCAAAAGCCACATGTGATTAGTGGCTACTCCATTGGACAGCATAGACATAGAACATTTCTATCTCAGAAAGTTCTGGACAGTGTGGCTTTAAAGAATTATCCTCATTTTATAGCTGAGTAAGGCTCAAAACTGTTAAGGAATTCACTCAGTCACTCTGAGTTTCCAAAGCTCCATATTGTTTACCACTGACCTGTATTTTCTCTCAGTGCTTTCCAGCTTTTTAATGTCAGGGAATACATAGAAAATGATATTTATATAGATAGAGCACATTGAGGATAATGTATGTGACTACAAGATTCAGCCCCAGGTCTCCTGCTACTCTTGGCTCTGCACACCCAGGCCAGGAATGAGGGTCACCAACAAACAGCTCAGCACACTACCTGATCATGAAGTTCTATACATTATAACAGTGATTCTCAGCATGGTTCCAAGGCCTGAAGTATCACCATCACCTGAGAACATGTATGGTTCTCAGCATGGTTCCAAGGCCTGAAGTATCACCATCACCTGAGAACATGTTAGGAATGTAAATTCTCAGGCCCCATCCCATGCCTACTGAATCCCAAATTCTTGGAGTAGATAGTGAAGCAGATTTGTATTTTAACAATCCCTCCAGGTGATTGATACACATAAAAATTGACTAAGCTTATTCAATGAATGGTGCTAGGAAGGTTGGTTATCCATAATGGGACAATACAGACACACACACATACAATCTATTACATTTATAATGCCTGAAAAATCAATACCAAAAAAATTGCATCCTAAATACCACCTTTTGTTCCTCTATTCAGAGATACTGCTATCTATATCCAAGTGTATCAGTTAATTTTTATATTTTATGTTGAATTAATATACATTTTGTGATTTCTTCATTTTAATTTTATGTTCAGGCTGGGCACAGTGGCTCACACCTGTAATCCCAGCACTTTGGGAAGCTAAAATGGGAGGATCACTTGAGGCCAGGAGTTTGAGACCAGCCAGGGCAACATAGCAAGAGCCCATCTCTACAAAAAATAAAAAAATTAGCCAGGTATGGTGACACATACCTGTAGTCTCAGCTACTTAGGAGGTGGAAGCAGGAGGATTGCCTGAGCCCAGGAGTTTGAAGTTACAGTGAGCTATGATTGTGCCACTGCATTCCAGCCTGGCAAACAACAACAAAAATTATGTTCAAACTCTCCCCAGCAAATGAACACCTACCTTTTCTTCAGCTTTGTTGTAATATTTAGATATTATGGTTATTATTAATAATTCACTGTCTGATAGTAGAATTAGTAGGTTTAACAAAAGTTGCAGTGCTAAAACACAAATTTCTCTTTATATGACCCTAGGTGTCTTAACTTTTAAGGCCATTGACTCCTTGGAGAATCTGTTAATAGAAATTGACATTCTCACCAGAAAAATATACATATATATAATATTTTGCATATAATTTCAGAACACTTTGACTTAATTGTAATATGATAAAGATTTAGTTAGCAGTTCATATTTTGTAGGATGTATCAATATTCTGTTGATTGCTTATTTTTTCTTAATATCCTTCTTCCTTCCCTCTCTTACTCTAAGGTGGATACATTGCAAATAGCCTAGCAATCATGACAGATGCACTTCATATGTTAACTGACCTAAGCGCCTCCATACTTACCCTGCTTGCTTTTGTGGCTGTCATCAAAATCACCAACCAAAAGATTCACCTTTGATTTCATCCGTTAGTGTAGGTAATTGGGTTTCTTTTGTGTAATGTTTATAACCACAATATAAACCACGATGACCTATAACCCTGATTAACTGAAATCTTTACCAGAGATATCTTGTTTGAACAAAGCAAATGAAAATAAGGCCAGCCATAGTGCTCAATCCTGTAATCCCAGCACTTTTGGAGCCGAGAGGAGAATCACTTGAGGCTAGGAGTTGAAGACTAAGGTGGCAACATAGTGAGACCCTGTCTCTACTATAAAATTTTTAAAAGGAAATGAGATTTATTCAAAAATTTATACATAAATTATATGATGATCATTAATCTTCACGTTTCTCCCTATGTCCTGAAGATGTCGTCAGAAAAAGTTTACTTTCATTTTATTGACTAAGCAAAACCCACATGGGTTATTGCTTTGGTTAGTGAGGCATTAGCTTCTCCCTTTGACTTGAGGTATTTCGATCAAAGCTACCATAGCCTAGATTTTAAGGATTACTATAATTTGATTTTAAGCATATACTGTGTGACTGACCTTCATTGAAACCATTATATCAACATAATTCTGCAAATGCATACATTTTTATTTGCCTATTTTGAACAAATATTAATGTTTAATTAAAAGGGTTAAAGTCATTGTTACCTACACAGTTCTGCTTCTTACTGTGTTATTTTTAAATTTTTTACCTATTTCAAAAATATGTATAAAATAATTACCTAAACTGTCCAGGCATGGTGTCTCACACCTGGAATCCTAGAGCTCTGGGAGGCCGAGGATCGGGAGGATCCCTTGAGGCCAGGAGTTGGAGACCAGCCTGAGCAAGAGCAAGACCCCGCCTCTATCAAAAATCGAAAAAATTAGCTGGATGTGGTAGCACACTCCTGTAGTCCTAGCTACTCAGGAGACTGAGGCAGGAGGATCACTTGAGCCCCAGGAGTTTGAAGTTACAGTGAGCTATGATGACACCACTGCGCTCTAGCTGGGGTGGCAGAGCAAAACTGTCTCAAAAAAAAAAAAAAATTACCTAAACTATTATATGAAGTGCCATATGACCACATGTCTTTTGCATAGAATCCAAAAGTTGACATCTAAATAGCTTCAGCAAAACTAGTCTCAAAGAACCAGAGTTAACATCTGGTAGTTTTATTTTACAATATTCTTGGCTAATATATCAAGCTCAACCAGTTCCTTCTTTTCTTTGTTGCTTTTTAGCCTTACCTTAACTCAGCATCTAGGTCTCCTTATTTAGTCATTGGGTCTTCTAGTGCAAAACTTGAATGTTGTACCAAAATGGTGGTATTCCAAGTAGCTATCCAGGTCATCAGGTTAGGAAATTGTCTGGCATCACCACCCCTCAGCGCTCTCAGCTACTGTGCAAGAGAGCTAAAACCCTAAGTGAGGTTTTTCTGTTGTTAAGCTACTTCATAATGCATTTGAATGTGTTCCTAACAGAAACTCTACTGCTTTTCAACATATTATTTTGTCATTTGTTTACTGGTTGCCCTGGGATTTTTAAACAACTTCAAAATTATTTTTAAACCTTAATTTTTTTGTGATTTAAACACCTGCAGTTTCAAGATCTAAAACTTAATATATCATCATGGAATGGGGATTTTTAACTTATGACACTGTCTGAGAGAGTGCATTCATTTAGTTCTATGGTTCTTAACCTCTTTTGGCTTATAAGCCTTTTGGAACTCTGATGAAAACAGTTGAACTCTCCCCCAAAAACATGCAATAACAGAAGATAGAAGGTGTTAACACATATAAGTTAAGAACCCATAATCATGAAAATTCTCTTAAATCTATTAAATATTAAAAGTACTTAGTTTTGTTCTACATAGTCACCTTGTTTCTTCCTAAATAACAAGCACTATGTAAAGATTAGAGAAAATAAAGCTGCCTCGTGCTATTGTGTCTCTTGAAGTTTCTATATAAAGTCACATCTTTCACTCTCCTCAAAAGTACTAAGTTCCAAGACGGTGGACTAGATCAAATCAGCATTTGATTCTTGTCTCTTTGAGAGTTCATTAAAATAAAAACATAGAAGTACAAAAACAACAAAGAGAAGCAAATGATTGGGTCACCAATAAACCAGAAATTTCTGCAAGTTGGAAAGTAGATAGGAGTACATTGAAGGAGAAAACAAGCCAAGAAGCTACAGCCTGGGCCCTAGAATATACTCTGAGCTGTAACTGGAATAGCCCAACAGATCTCCGAAGAAGGCTCAGGGACAGAAAGGAGCAGAAATTAGAATTGGGGCTAACAAAGAATATTAATTGAATGACTCTAAGTAGGAAGCTGCTCCCAGTAATTTCACTCTGCCCCTACCTCCCTTCTCACCTCCAGCTCCACTCAGGCAACCTGCATTTTCCCCAATGTATAACACCAAATAGTTCTTCTAGAAAGAAATTGAATGAAATGTTTGGAGAAAGCTGAGAATTCTAATGTGCCTGTTGATGCTCCAGAATAAGTTTTATTCCTACTAGCATTCAGGGTTCTGCAGCCTTACAGCCAGGTTTCCCACCCACTCACCCTAAAGTGATACACTTGTCCTACTCTGCCCTGCCCTAGAACCCTTAATAATAACCACTTTGATTCATTTCTGGACTATCCTTCCATCACTTCCTTTTTGCAAAGGGCAGCTTTCCTATCCTTTCACCCTAAATGTGAATGGGCAACCAAGAACCTTCTAGCATATGAGAAATACCAGCAGTATAAGAGAAAATGACCAAAATTAAACTAACAGAAAAATTAAGCTTAGAGGAAAAAGAGGTAACTTAACAGAAGGAAAGTTTTAAAATTATTAATATACTTAGGATGATAAAACAGTAAAATGTTTTTTAAAAGAAACATACAAGAAGAAGCTCTTTGAAATTAAAATATTACTGCTGAAACTTTTTAAAAATTCCATTTTCAGGCCGGGCATGGTGTCTCATTTTGGGAGGCCAGAAGTTCAAGATCAGCCTGAGAAAGACCCCATCTCTATTAAAAATAAAGAAAATTAGTCAGGCATCATGGTTTATACCTGTAGTCCTAGCTAATCGAAAGGCTGAGGTAGGAGGATCACTTGAGCCCAGGAATTTGAGGTTGCTGTGAGCTATGCTGGCATCACTGCACTCTAGCCCAGACAAGGGAGTGAGGATCTGTCTCAAGAAAAAAAAAATTCTGTTTTTAATAGAAGGACTAAAGAATATAGTCAGGAAAATCTCCCAGTATATAAAACAAAAAGATGTGATATAAACAGGAGGAAAAAGTTTATAACTGTAAAAGAATAATCTTGGAGGTCAAAGCCCTACAGCTAAGAACCTCAGGAAATAGAACTTAAAAAAAAATAAAAGAGAGTGACTACTTAGTATGGGATTTCTTTTGAAGGTGGTGAGCACATTCTGGAATTAGATAGTGATTATGGTTGTACAGCCTTGTGTGAGTACTAAAAACCATTGAATTGTACACTTTAAAATGGTTAAAGTGGTGAAATTTATATTGCATGAATTTTTTTACAAGTCTTCTAAAAAAATAAAAGGGAGAGAATTGTTAAAGATATAGATTGATGAGTATTTCCAGAGCTAAGGAGGTACTCAAGCTTCACACTAAAAGAGCCTTTTGGGATCTTCTTTTTTCCTTTTTATATTCCAAAATCTTATGAGGATATATCTAAATATAGACCTTATTTGACTTATTTTATTCTTTGAAGTAATTGTGAAAATAGTGGAAGAAAAAACTTATGTTGACTTGGGCAAGATTCAAAAGACAACAGAGATAAATAGAATTTTGTAAATAAAGCTAAGCAGTTGGTATCCTTGAGTTCCACAGAATACTATTACTTCATGAGTAATCTCTTGAAGTTCTTTAGGGTGAGATATATTTACTTTGGACACATTTAAATAGTGTAGCACTTGTGGTCTCTAATTCCAAGACTTGGTGATTCAGGCCCTGAAGAACATTGCAAAAGGAATCTCCCTAAGAAATTTCTGGTTTGTCACTGTTGTTGTTGAATTTTGTTTTGTTTTGATGGCATGGGAGGTAGGACAGGGATGGAGTTTTTTCCTTGTTGGTTTGTTTTGTTTTTGTTTTAGAGACAGGGTTTCACTCTGTCACCCAGGCTCGAGGACAGTGGCATGATCCTAGCTCACTGCAGCTTCAAACTCCTGGGCTCAAGTGATCCTCCCACCTCAGTCTCCCGAATAGCTGAATTACAGGCATGTGCCACTGTCCTGGCTAAGTGTGTGTGTGTGTGTGTGTGTGTGTGTGTGTGTGTGTGTGTGTGTGTGTGTGTGTGTGAAGGCAGAGTCTTGCTATGTTGCTGAGGTTGGTCCCAAACTCCTGGCCTCAAGCTGTCCTCCCTCTTAGCCTCTGGGGTTACAGGCATGAGCAACTGTGCCCAGCCTTGAATTTATTTTGTAAATGTGTAAAATAAAATATTGCAAAAGTCAAAAGTTATTTTTTAATTGAAAAGATTTACTCAGAGAAGTCTTGCTTTCATTCTGTCCCTCTACCCCATCCCCTCTTCCCACTCTATTAGTAAACCATTTAAATGAGTTTCTGGCCTATCCTTCCAGCATTTCTTTTGAAAATGTAAGCAAATACATACATGTATTAATATCCTGCTCATTGCCATCCTTTCTTATGCAAAAGACAGCATACTCTATATCCAACTCTAGACCTGGAGGCAGTTATTCTATATATACAGAGTTCTGCCTCTTAGAGATCACTTTATAACAGTATGTAGACACTTTTGATTTGAAAATTTCGGAGCTTAAAGAATGAGAATGACCACTTAACTATTGAGAGAAATAATATTCTCTTGTTCCTTTGGAATAAGAATTGAGCACAGGATGTTGCCTTGGGATTCTGCATGAGGAAGCAGAAAATTAGATTAAGATTTCTTGGAAATTTTTTCTACATTGAGGAACCAAATTGCAACACTCTATTTGATAATAATAAATATCAAGTCATGCTTAGTTATAATTGCCATTTTAGTTCTGTGTTGTGTGGATGCATTTTTCACT